ACCAGGAAAAAGTGAAAATTCTTTCCAACCAGTACCATCCTGCCAGTATCCAAACCGGTCAGCCTGCCGTCTGAGAACCCGTCTTCCGTGGTTCAGCCTGGTGCCCCGGCACCCACAATTCATCCTGATGCCCGATGACCCAGTGTACGCTACCCGGCCTGATGTTCCTACTCAGCCTGATGTTCCTACCCGGCCTGATGTTCCTACCCAGCCTGATGTTCCTACCCAGCCTGACGATCTAGTGCCTGCTATCCAGCCTGATGACCCGATCCAGCCTAATGACCCAATCCAGCCTGATGGCCTGATGACCTGGTGTTCATGATCCAGCCCGATGACCCGGTCCGGCCTGATGACCCGATCCAGCCTGATGACCCGATCCAGCTTGATGACCTGATCCAGCTTGATGACCTGGTGCCCGCTACACAGCCTGATGGCCCGATCCAGCCTGATGACCCGATCCAGCCTGATGACCCGGTGTTCGTGATCCAGCCTGATGAGCTGATCCAGCCTGGTGTCTTGGTGCCTGTGGTCCGGCCTGGTGCCTCGGTGCCCGTGGTCGGCTAGATGACTCGGTGCCCGCTGTCGTGCCAGATGACTCAGTGCCCACTGTCGTGCCAGATGACCCGGTGCCCGCTGTCGTGTCAGATGACCCGGTGCCCGCTGTCGTGCCAGTTGACCCGGTGCCCGCTGTCGTGCCAGATGACTCGGTGCCCGCTGTGATGCCAGATGACTCGGTGCCCACTGTCGTGCCAGATGACCCGGTGCCCACTGTCATGCCAGTTGACTCGGTGCCCGTTGGCGAGCTTGGTGACTCGGTGCCCGCTGTTCTGCCAGATGACTCAGTGCCCGCTGTTCTGCCAGATGACTCGGTGCCCGCTGTCGAGCTTGATGCCTCGGTGCCTGCTGCCTCTCACCTGATGGCCCGGTGCCTGCTGTCGTGCCAGATGACCTGGTGCCCGCTGTCATGCCAGATGACCCGGTGCCCGCTGTCGTGCCATTTGACTCGATGCCGCTGTCGAGCTTGGTGACTCGGTGCCCGTTGTCGTGCCAGATGACTCGGTGCCCGCTGTCGTGCCAGATGACCCGGTGCCCGCTGTCGTGCCAGATGACCCGGTGCCCGCTGTCATGCCAGTTGACTCGGTGCCCGCTGTCGTACCAGATGACCCACTGCCCGCTGTCGTGCCAGTTGACTCGGTGCCCGCTGTTCTGCCAGATGACTCTGTGCCCGCTGTCGAGCTTGATGCCTCGGTGCCTGCTCCTCACCTGATGGCCCAGTGCCCGCTGTCGTGCCAGATGACCCGGTGCCCGCTGTTATGCCAGATGACCCGGTTCCCGCTGTCGTGCCAGATGACTCTGGCCTGCTGTCGTGCCAGATGACCCAGTGCCCGCTGTCGTGCCAGATGACCCAGTGCCCGCTGTCGTGCCATTTTGACTCGGTGCCCGCTGTGCCCGAGCTTGGTGGGCTCGGTGCCCCGCTGTCGTGCCAGATGACTCGGTGCCCGCTGTCGTGCCAGATGACCCGGTGCCCGCTGTCGTGCCAGTTGACTCGGTGCCCGCTGTCGTGCCAGATGACTCGGTGCCCGCTGTCGTGCCAGTTGACTCGGTGGCCCAGTGCCCGCTGTTCTGCCAGATGACTTGGTGCCCGCTGTCGTGCCAGATGACTCGGTGCCCGCTGTCGTGCCAGATGACTCGGTGCCCGCTGTCGTGCCAGATGACCCGGTGCCCGCTGTCGAGCTTGATGCCTCGGTGCCTGCTGCCTCACCTTGGTGCCCGGTGCCCGCTGTCTGCCAGATGAACCAGTGCCCGCTGTCGTCCAGATGACCCGGTGCCCGCTGTCGTGCCAGTTGACTCAGTGCCCGCTGTCGAGCTTGGTGACTCGTGCCCGCTGTCGTGCCAGATGACTCGGTGCCCGCTGTCCTGCCTGAACTTGTGCCCGCTGTCGTGCCAGATGACCCGGTGCCCGCTGTCGTGCCAGATGACCTGTGCGTGCCGCTGTCGTGCCAGTTAACTCGGTGCCCGCTGTTGAGCTTGATGACTCGGTGCCCGCTGTCGTGCCAGATGACCGCTCGGTGCCCGCTGTCGTGCCAGATGACCCGGTGCCCGCTGTCGTGCCAGATACCCGTGCCCGCTGTCATGCCAGATGACTCGGTGCCCGCTGTCGAGCTTGGAGACCGGTGCCCGCTGTCGTGCCAGATGACTCGGTGCCCGCTGTCGTGCCAGATGACCCGGGTGCCTGCTGTCATGCCATTGACTCGGTGCCCGCTGTCGATCTTGGTGACTCGGTGCCCGCTGTCGTGCCAGATGACCCGTGCCCGCTATCGAGCTTGGTGACTCAGCGGTGCCCGCTGTCGTGGCCAGATGAATCGGTGCCCGCGGTCGTGCCAGATGACTCGGTGCCCGCTGTCGTGCCAGATGACCCACGGTGCCCTGCTGTCGTGCCACATGACTTGGTGCCCGCTGTCAGTCCGTGCCAGATAATCCGGTGCCCACTGTTGTGCCAGTTGACTCAGTGCACTCTCAGCCTGCTCCGTCCTGTTCTGTCCAGATGACTCGGTGCCCACAGTCGAGCTTGATGTCTCGGTGCCTGCTGATGCCTCACCTGATGGACCAGTGCCCGCTGTCGTAACGGGCCAGATGACTACCGGTGCCCGCTGTTGTGCCAGATGACCCGGTGCCCCGCTGCCTTGTGCCAGATGACCCGGTGCCCGCTGTCGTGCCAGTTGACTCGGTGCCCGCTGTTCTGCCAGATGATTCGGTGCCCGCTGTTCTGCCAGATGACTCGGTGCCCGCTGCGAGCTTGATGCCTCGGTGCCCGCTGCCTCACCTGATGGCCCGGTGCCCGCTGCCTCGCCTGATGGCCCGGTGTCCGCTGCTCCGCCTGATGGCTTGGTGCCCCGCTGTGGTGCCAGATGACCCGGTGCCCGCTGTCGTCCAGATGACCCGGTGCCCGCTGTTGAGCTTGGTGACTCGGTGCCCGCTCTCGTGCCAGATGACTCGGTGCCCGCTGTTGTGCCAGATGACCCGGTGCCCGCTGTCGTGCCATTTGACTCGGGACGCCTGCTGTCGAGCTTGGTGACTCGGTGCCCACTGTCATGCCAAATGACCCGGTGCCCGCTGTCGTGCCAGTTGACTCGGTGCCGCTGTTCTGCCAGATGATTCGGTGCCCACTGTTCTGCCAGATGACTCGGTGCCCGCAGTGGAGCTTGATGCCTCGGTGCCTGCTGCCTCACCTGATGGCCCGGTGCCCGCTGCCTCGCCTGATGGCCCCGGTGCCCGCTGCCTCGCCTGATGGCTTGGTGCCCCGCTGTCGTGCCAGATGACCCGGTGCCCGCTGTCGTGCCAGATGACTTGGTGCCCGCTGTCGTGCCAGATGATCTGGTGCCCACTGTCGTGCCAGTTGACTCAGTGCCCGCTGTTCTGTCAGATGACTTGGTAACCCACAGTCGAGCTTGATGTCTCGGTGCCTGCTGCCTCACCTGATGGCCCAGTGCCCGCTGTCGTGCCAGATGATCTGGTGCCCCGCTGTCGTGCCAGATGACCCGGTGCCCGCTGTTGTGCCAGATGACCCTTGGGCCCGCTGTCGTGCCAGATGATCCGGTGCCCACTGTCGTGCCAGTTGACTCAGTGCCCGCTGTTCTGTCAGATGACTTGGTACCCACAGTCGAGCTTGATGTCTCGGTGCCTGCTGCCTCACCTGATGGCCCAGTGCCCGCTGTCGTGCCATTTGACTCGGTGGTGCTGCTGTCGAGCTTGGTGATTCGGTGCCCACTGTCGTGCCAGATGACCCGGTGCCCGCTGTCGTGCCAGTTGACTCGGTGCCCGCTGTTCTACCAGAATGATTCGGTGCCCGCTGTTCTGCCAGATGACTCGGTGCCCGCTGCAAGCTTGATGCCTCGGTGCCTGCTGCCCTCACCTGATGCCCGGTGCCCGCTGCCTCGCCTGATGGCCCGGTGTCCGCTGCTCCGCCTGATGGCTTGGTGCCCCGCTGTCGTGCCAGATGACCCGGTGCCCGCTGTCGTGCCAGATGACCCGGTGCCCGCTGTTGAGCTTGGTGACTCGGTGCCCGCTCTCGTGCCAGATGAAAACTTACTCGGTGACCGCTGTTGTGCCAGATGACCCGGTGCCCGCTGTCGTGCCATTTGACTCGGTGCCTGCTGTCGAGCTTGGTGACTCGGTGCCCACTGTCATGCCAGATGACCCGGTGCCCGCTGTCGTGCCAGTTGACTCGGTGCCCGCTGTTCTGCCAGATGATTCGGTGCCCGCTGTTCTGCCAGATGACTCGGTGCCCGCTGCGAGCTTGATGCCTCGGTGCCTGCTGCCTCACCTGATGGCCCGCTGCCTCGCCTGATGGCCCGGTGCCCGCTGCTTCGCCTGATGGCTTGGTGCCCCGCTGTCGTGCCAGATGACCCGGTGCCCGCTATCGTGCCAGATGACTTGGTGCCCGCTGTCGTGCCAGATGATCCGGTGCCCACTGTCGTGCCAGTTGACTCAGTGCCGCTGTTCTGTCAGATGACTTGGTACCCACAGTCGAGCTTGATGTCTCGGTGCCTGCTGCCTCACCTGATGGCCCAGTGCCCGCTGTCGTGCCAGATGACCTGGTGCCCGCTGTCGTGCCAGATGACCCGGTGCCCGCTGTTGTGCCAGATGACCCGGTGCCCGCTGTCGTGCCATTTGACTCGGTGCCTGCTGTCGAGCTTGGTGACTCGGTGCCCACTGTCGTGCCAGATGACCCGGTGCCCGCTGTCGTGCCAGTTGACTCGGTGCCCGCTGTTCTGCCAGATGATTCGGTGCCCGCTGTTCTGCCAGATGACTCGGTGCCCGCTGCAAGCTTGATGCCTCGGTGCCTGCTGCCTCACCTGATGGCCCGGTGCCCGCTGCTTCGCCTGATGGCCCGGTGTCCGCTGCTCCGCCTGATGGCTTGGTGCCCCGCTGTCGTGCCAGATGACCCGGTGCCCGCTGTCGTGCCAGATGACCCGGTGCCCGCTGTCGTGCCATTTGACTCGGTGACCACTGTCGAGCTTGGTGACTCGGTGCCCGCTGTCGTGCCAGATGACTCGGTGCCCGCTGTCGTGCCAGATGACCCGGTGCCCGCTGTCGTGCCAGATGACCCGGTGCCCGCTGCCCAGCCTGACGTGCCTCAGCCCGCTGCCCAGCCTGACATGCCTCTGCCCGCTGCCCAGCCTGACGTGCCTTTGCCCGCTGCCCAGCCTGACGTTCCTCCGCCCCGCTGCCCAGCCTGACGTGCCTCCGCCCGCTGCCCAGCCTGATGTACCGGCTCCTGATGCCCAGCCTGCTTCTGGAAATCCTGTGTCCAGCAATCTGCCTTCCTGCGGTCTCCTGCAAAAAGATAGGCCTATCAGCTGGAGACCCAGCCAATCACTTGATTCCGGCAGTGGGATGTCCAGCCAGTTGCCGGACCCAGGCGGTGGAACATTTGGGCCATTACGGACTGTTTGGAGCGTCCTGAGGCCGCTCCTTGAGGCGGGGGTACTGTCAGGAATGGACTTGCCAATGGTGGTGGGACTCACCTGCCTTGTGGGCTGCATCACCTGCCTTGTGGGCTGCAGTACCAGGGCTGGCCAGCGGGTGTTCTCAGCAACCAGAAGCTCACTCCTGCAGTCAGCCATCACCTGAGGCTGATTGCAGGAGGTGTATTTAAAGAATGGCCAGACTTGCAGTCAGTGCCTTGGTGTATGTTTCCCATGAGCCCCTGTACCTGCATCCTGTCTGATTCTGCTTGATCCTGACCCTGAATGAACTCCGCCTGTCCTGACCTCGGCTATTCCTGACCACTCTCCAGCCTGCTCCTTTGGTACCTTGTCTGCCTGATTGTTCCTGAACCGGCCCGTCTGACTACGCTCTGCCTACTCCTTTGTGTCTTGTCTGCCCGATGATTCCTGACCTGGCCTGCCTGACCACTCCACCTCGCCAGCCCTGACTGCTCTTATCTGTGTACATTCCGTTATCAGGTTTGGCTTTGTTATATTGTGCGTTATATTTGTGTATAACTCTTAATAAATTATATTGTTACACCATACTTGAGCCTGCGTTTCCCTGTGTCAGTTCACGCATCTCTGGTCTTACCGGGAGCCCTGACACCCCTGCTTATAGTGGGCATGCTCTCAGAGCCTCCTGTCTTAGTAGGTGTGGTCTCAGGAGTCCCCTGCTTGTAGTGGGTGTGGTCTCAGAGCCTCCTGTCTTAGTGGGTGTGGTCTCAGGAGTCTCCTGCTTGTACTGAGTGTGCTCACTGTCTTAGTGGGTGTGGTCTCAGGAGTCCCCTGCTTGTAGTGAGCGTGTTCCCAGAGCCTCCTGTCTTAGTGGGTGTGGTCTCAGGAGTCTCCTCCTTAGTGGGTGGAGTCTTAGAGTCTCCTCTTAGTAAGCCCCCAGCCCATGATGTCTCCCTTATCAGACATGACAGAACTCCCAGCTCCACCCCTTGTAGGGAAGCGTAGGGGACATGTAGGGCACCACAGCACCAGAAATGTCCCGGGTCACAAAGCCATCAGCATGACAAAGTGGTGGATTTTACAATCAGGTTAGAGTACAGCGCTGTTCACACCTAAACACTAAACCTGAGCACTCGGAGAAATCCAACTTCACGGCACTTACAGAAACATGGCTGATGAAGGGCCCGTTCACACCAGAACACGGTGCGGGAAAGGCGTGTTCCATGCACATTCCCCACCCTGCAGGAGAGCACACTGCCCTTGCGAGTCCCATGTGGGTGTCAATGATTATTGAATAGCACTTCTTAGGCATCTTGCAAACACAGAATGTGTGCGGCCACCAAGTTGCATGGTACCATGAGGTATGGTGAAGTGCGATTGGAAAAAAATCATGCTTGCCCTATCTTTTTATGCATTCCAGTGTGTTTTGCAGCCCATTCAAATAGACAGGCTGTCAAAATTGGACAAAATTGGGGGTTAACCAGACCTAAGATGTGTGGTTGGGGGGGGTAAATAATGCACGATTGAGCTGTATTTGTTTTTCACGACAACCCTCCCATGTAGGCACAGGTGTGAACAGGCCAACTACAGGCTGTGGGAGTCACTTCTGATAGGTGATGCTGACTCCAGGGGGACTGGGGAAGGAAGCTCCTGAAGACAGCCTGTGATTGATAGCCTTGGCAGTGGCTGTGTAGAGGTGGTTTGTGTCCTTTCCCTCCACTCAGATCTCAGACTACACTGAGCTCCCTGGCCTATGCTGTGCAGTGTATGACATCAGATCCCGCCCCCTGCCTTCTGGAGCTCAGAAATGCTGGGTAAGTTCTGTACTTTGACCGGCTGTAGAGGAAAGATGGTGGTTAATAAAAAAGGTACAACTTATGTAGGAGGATTTGTTTCATCTCTGTGTATCACCTGAGGCCAGTCACTTCACTGGGTATATGGAAGTGTTTGCAACCACTTTAATAGAAGTGAGAGAGAAACCTGTTGAAGCTTATAGTTGGAAGCCCAATCCCTTGACGCTGATGGATGGTCAGCAAAACCAAGGTTTACCAAAAATGTCTTCCATAATGGATGGAAAATAAACAATTCTTGAACAAAAAAAAACAAAACAAAAAACATGGACTGCCTATTACCTTTTTTTAATTGGATTTTTAATTTAAAACCGGATAAAATATTTGGATATCAAAAAATCCTATACATACTATATGACTCTCCTGTATGAATTCCAAACACATGGTTCAAACGGATTGACTCCCTATTAACCACTTCAAGTCCGGACACTTTCACCCCCTTCCTGTCCAGACCAATTTTCAGCTTTCAGCGCTGTCACACTTTGACAATTGCGCGGTCATGCAACACTGTACCCATATGAATTTTTTAGCTTCACAGGAAGCTTTGTATTGTATGAATGAATACAAGGCTTTCTCCGATTGGCCGAGGTGAGTGGATGATGTCCTGATCTCCCCATCAGCCAATCAGAGTAAGCCTTATATTCATTCATACAAGGCGGGAGACTGCTCCTAGGACCCTAGCAAAAAACTGAGGCATGAGCTAAAAGCCAAGCTGGCCTACAATTTGTTTGCCAATGTCCAGTCCACCTGTAAATGGCAGTAAAACCCAAAGTTTTAAAGACTTTCTGTGTCTCTCAATGGATAGAAAAAAAAAAAAAAAAAAAAATATATAATTATATATAATATATATATATATTTTTTTTTTTTTTTTTTTTTCTATCCATTGAGGGAACACAGGAAGTCTTAATTTTTTTTTTTTTTTTAAATAACCAATTGCCCATGGAAGTGCTGAACTGTTTCTTTAACAGGTTCAGTACTTCCATGGGCAATTGGTTATAAAAAAAAAAAAAAAAAAAATTTAAGACTTCCTGTGTCCCTCTATGGATAGAAAATAAAAAAAAATCATAAAAAAAAATATATATATATATATATATATATATATATATATATATATATATATATATATATATATATATTTTTTTTTTTTTAAAATAACCAATTACCCATGGAAGTGCTGAACCTGTAAAAGAAACAGTGAATACGAAAAGTCAAATCCTGACTAAAAAATTGGCATATCTCAACCAAAAACAATGATAAACATACCCCAAAGTGTTTTTGAGGAGTTTTAATGAAAAATATTTCAGCTGCATGGAATTTGAAGTCGCAGACATGTCTGGTTGTGGATTCATATGAAAAAATACTGGACTCAATTTTAAATATTAGGAAAAAAATATAAGACCTGCTTGGTCAGAAAAAGAATATTTTTTATTGACCCTTAAAAAAAAAATCAAATATTTAAAAAGTCCTGTCTTGCTTTCAACCTTGGATATATTTTTTCTGCTCCTGTTTGTTGTGGCAGTTTTCACAGATGCCTGCTGGAAACTTTGTGCTGCATCTTCTATTGTGGCAAGTCCTTCAGTAAGGCCGGAATTTCCTTTGCGCTCGCATAATTGCAATCTTCTGCTTATCTTCCTCAAACTTTCTATGTAGTTCAGCCAAGTCTGGAAAAAAACAAATAAGAAATCTAATCAGATGCAATCGGTTTGTTGTGCCCATCCTGATTGTTGGAAATGGGGTACACCTTTCCACATCAGATTTCAGTGGCACTTCACTCTCTCAATCAACACTGAATATTTGTAATCCTTATGTAATCCTTATGCTGCTAGTATTAATACATTTCTACAGTCGCTTCCTGGTTTCTGGCCTAGGCCAAAATGTCCTAATACATTCCAGGAGTCTTCATGGAAGCAAGGGCTATAATCCTGCTGATCACCGCCATTACTAGTATAAAACAAATTGAAAAAAAAAAAAAATCTCAGTATCTATACCGCCATTTGTAAACGCTATAACTTTCACGTAAACCAATTAATTTACACATAATGGGATTTTATTTTAGACATGGAGCAGAATACATTTTGGCCTAAATTTATGACAAAATTTGATTTTTTTTTTTTACTGGATGTTTTATAGCAAAAAGTCAAATATATTGTTTTTTTTTTTTCAAAATTTTTTTTGTTTTTGTATAGCACAAAAAAACCCCTCAGAGGTGATCAAATAGCACAGAAAGAAAGCTCCATTTGCGGGGGAAAAAGGACGTAAATTTCATCTTGGTGCAGCGTTGCATGACTGCGCAATTGTAAGTTAAAGTAACGCAGCGCCGTATCGCAAAAAATGGTCAGGAAGGGGGGGAAATCCTCTGGAGGGCAAGTGGTTAGCTACCAGGGTGCTCATCAGTTCATTCAGTACTATAAACCGTCAGCCGTGGTAGATGATGGTAGTTGTAGTCTATCCATTCCCAGGAAACTGTGAATGAATGCTGCGCCGTGTGGACAGAGCCCCGCACCAGGGGCGGACTGACAACTCATAGGGCCCCCGGGCAATAGGGGATCATGGGGCCCCTGTGTCTTTGCCCAAACTCAAAAAAGCCTATGAAAAAGGTACCAGGGGCCTCTCATGAGGCCCCCTACTGACCCCGGGCCCTCGGGCAGTGCCCGAGTTTCCAAATGGTCAGTCCACCCCTGCCCCGCACATTTTAAAAAATTATGACAGCGAGTGCGGGGAAAAGATCCCACACCTGCTGTCACACCAAGAGAGGGTGAGGGGGAACTGGCGGCAGGAGATAGAGCAATTTGCATGCTCCTCCCTATATATGGATGTAACATGTTCCGAAAGGTAAACTTATCCTTTAACTAGTTGCCGACCGCAGATAGCCGAATGACGGCTGCACTGCGGCCGGCCAGTTCTGAGTGGACGTCATATGACGTCCTCCCAGAACGCGCTCTCCTGCGCGCCCCAGGGGGCGCGCACCTGGCGATCTCCGTGATCAGCGGTGTCCAATGACACGCTGATCAGAGGGAAATGCAAGTGCCGGTGTTCTCGGCTGCACTTTCCTCACGCTGTCAGATCGTGAGGAAAGTACTGCTGAGAACCGGCAGTTGTCAGAGCGAGGATCGGC